ATCACCAGCAGAAGCTGGACAACAGAAAAGATTGCTGGCTGCTTCCTCCTCTAGAAGCTTTGTCCCAGGAGGGCATCCACCAGATGCCACCCACCTGATGCACCCACCTGAAGCTCTCTTGTATGAGCTGTCTGTTGACCCCTGCTGGGAGGTGTTCCCCCCCCATCAGGAGGCACAGGTGTTAGGAACCCACTTGAAGAGGCAGTTTATCCTTTAGCAGAGCTGGAGTGCTGGGCTGGGAGATTTGCTGCTCTCTTCAGAGCCAGCAGGCAGGAACATTTAAGTTTGCTGACACTGCACCCACATCTGCCCCTTCCCCCAGGTGCTCTGTCCCAGAGAGATGGGAGTTGTATCTATAAACCCCTGACTGGGGCTGCTGCCTTTCTTTCAGAGATGCCCTGCCCAGAAAGGAGATTACTACTGTTTTTTTACTACTGCTTCTGGTGGTGATGAATAATAAACACATGTAAAAAAGAAAGGAATATTTTACTTAGTGCTTCATTGAAATCAGATTCAGTATTTTTATCAACAATTATTTACTGAGGTTATCTTGTCCTTGATTTGAGAAGCTAGAATTTTTAACTAAAGAATAAAAATTATAGCCCATAAACTGGATGTTTTGTCACAGAAACCCAGTATATTTAGGGAATTTTCAATATGTGAATACACTGGTGTCAAGCATTAAACATAATCTATCTTGTTAACCATGTGAAAACATTAAACTAGTAGACCCTTTATTTGGCATGTTATCATTCAGTGACAAAAAGTATTAAAGAATCTTAGTGGAAGGAGTTATATATAAAAAACAGAAATAATAATTTAAGACAAACAATAAAGAAATATATATATATACACACATAAGAAAATCTCTGTATCCCCATCTACTTGATCTACTATATAAGAAAATACCTTAGACTAGGTAATTTATAAGTAATAGAAAATTATTGCTCACAGTTCTAGAGGCAGGGAAGTCCAAGAACAAGATTCCAACAGATTTTTGTGTCTGGTGAGGGCTTGCTGTCTCCCTCATAAGATGGCACTTTCTAACTGTGACTTCACATGATGGAAGGGGCAAAGAAGAATCCTTGAGCCTGGTTTGTTAGGGTACCAAAAATTTATGAGAGTGGAACCCTTGTAACTTAATCACATCCCAAATGCCCCACCTGTTTATACACTTACATTGGGTTTTAGGTTGCAACATATGAAATTTGGAGAAACACCAACATTCAGGACATAGGACTATCTAAAATAACACAATTGTGGTAATTACCTTTTGGGCCAAAATATTCTTTTAAGGTAATGAGAAACCAGTCTGTACTTAGGTTAAATTATATTTCTAAAAGTTAATAGCTTAGATGGTTTTTATTGTGTCATATAAAAAAACGTTAAAATATTATATTTAGTTACTTAAGACTGATATTTTAAGAAACAAAACTATGTGAAAAGAATCCACTCTTGAGAATGCATTCTTGTGTTGCTAATAAAAATTTTGCTGTCATAAATAAAAGGAAACAAATATATGTATAAAGGAGTGCTTTTCTTCATCAATTTTATTTGACATTTAATAGAGTCCTGAGATGCTATTAACATCTAAGAAGTTTTAGAATTTCAAGAATAAAGGGATAATCTCTGACTGCAGTATTTTTGTATTTTTAATTCTAAGGCCTCTGTTATGGTGTTCATATACTGATTAAAGAATTAGTTTTTCCATTTATCTGCTAATCTTGTAAGCAACAACTGGAATGATCAAATAGATAGTAAATATAAATAATTAATATGCAGAATTTTATGTAATCATTTGTATTAATATCTATCTAGCACTTTAAGTTTCCAGCTCCCTTTCATGTTAGTCATTTCCCCAGAATCCTGATGCCCATGAGTTTAGGAGCTTTGTTTCTTGCTGAGGAGGCAGGCACCAGCATTGAGAAAATGGACTGATGTGTTGGGCGTCTGAACTTTCTTCTTTTCTCTTTGGTCTGGAAATGTGATCAAAGACATATCTAATGTCTTTTGCTTATTTGAAAGAATTATCTAATCCCTATGCTAGATTTATGTTATGTTGATTGGGGGGAGGGGAAGGAAAGGCATAATATTTAGACCAATGGCATATTATTAAGGGCTGGGCTATTTGAAGGAGAAGTGTGAAAGTTTAACATAACCTTAGCACTTACGATGTGTTAGGCTATAAAACTCAAAGTTAATAACGCTGTCTTCTGCTGTTGGTCCTATTCAGCTTTCCTCTTATTCTTCTGTGACTAGAAAGGAGTCTGGATGCAGACTCTAAGACAGGGTTCTTGGACCTTGCATAATGAAGAATTCAGGGTGAGTCCGTAAAGTGAAAGCAAGCTTATTAGAAACATAAAGGAATAAAAGAATGGCTACTCCATAGACAGAGCTTTTGGTTGCCCATTTTTATGGTTATTTCTTGATTTTATGATAAATAAGGGGTGGATTATTCATGCCTCTGTTTTTCAGACCATGTAGGGTAACATCCTGATGTTGCCATAGCATTTGTAAACTGTCATGGTGCTGGTGGGAATATAGTAGTGAGGACGACCCGAGGTCACTCCTGTTGCCATCTTGGTTCTGGTGGATTTTAGCCCGCTTCTTTACTGCAACCTGTTTTATCAGCAAGGTCATTATGACCTGTATCTTGTGCCATCATCTTGTGACTTAGAATGTCTTAACCATCTCGGAATGCATCCCAGTAAGTTTTAGCCTTATTTTACCCAGCCCCTATTGAAGATGGAGTTGCTCTGGTTCAAACATCTCTGACACGTCCAGTCTTGACTACTTCAAACTGTTTCCCATGCTGCTAACACATAGCTACTGAGCAAATCTCTCTTAATGCAAATATATTATTACTCCCCTATTAGAAATTTGTTATACACTCTCTGTTGCCTACCAGAAAGAGGTAAAGCATCCACCACCCCCTGATCCATCTAGGCCCCCAATATCACTCAGTTCATGCTGTAGTATTGAGACAGACACCTCTGGGTCTACTTCATACCTCCACACTCTTGCTCCTGGTCCCTACTTTCCAGAATATCCTCTTCCCAGAAAACCTTTCCCATACCCCAGTTAATTCTAAGTACCCTTGTGAAGAAAACCAGAATATTTCATCCCATAATGTATTTCTTTGGCATGTTTTAATATGGTTATTCAGAGGGGCTGCAAAACACAAAAACAGCCCAGAAAAGCTGCCTGGTTTGTGGGAAATTTGCCTCTACAGAGGATATCTACATTAGTGAACTGAAGTAAACAAGAGGTGAAAACGGGATTTTTCTGAGGCCCCCCCTTGGATCTAGGAAAGGTTAACTTACAGGAAAAAGAGACTTGAAGTCTCATGCTTTTAAAGGTCTGACAGAGAAACTTTTACCAAAAACTACCATCCATTCTTTTTGAGGGCAGCTCTGAGATTACCTGAAATATTTTCATCTGCATGACAAGACAGCCTTTGCTTGACATGCTTTCTTCCCTTTACTCTCCCATAACCTGTGATACCACTTTTCCCTGCCCCCAGGACCTTCAAAGCCTCTATTCTTTCTGTAACTTGATGGTGTAACAATTCTTCAGTTATTTGACCCCTCCTTAGAGCCTCATACCTTGTAGTATGGCTTCCATGTCCATATGCCCTTGAATAAATTTGTATACCTTTCCCTTCCATTCATCTGTCTTTTGTCACAGAGGTAACCCAGCTAAGAACTTATGAGAATTGAGAAAAGAAATTGTATATGTTTTTTTCCTCCCCTTCCATTGCTCTAGGCTTCCATAGACTTCCTACTCATTGGCAGAACAACAGCATGATTGATAGTCTAGGCCTCAGACTGGGTTTGATCATACAATCTGTCCTTTACTTTCTAGATAATCTTAACTTCCTGACCCTCCCATTCCTTATCAGTAAATAAGGTATTTATAATAATAGTACTTGTCTCAGAAGATTCAGCGAGTTAATACTTGTAAATTGCTTTAACATTGTGCCTTGCACCTTGTAAACATGTAATAAATGTTTGTTACAATGATGGTATTTTATGCCATTTCCATTATCAGTAATTATGATTGCTATAGCATCTTTTGCATTAGGATTTCAACATTATCTTTTCCATGAGTTTGTTTTCCTACTAGACTATCTCCTCCTATAAGGCAGTATTCATTCTGTACTTAACTCTGAATCCTCAGAGCTGTGCATCGAGCCTTATTCATAATAGGAAGTCAATAGATATTAAATGCTTATGAAATTGCCAGCTTATTGCCTAAATTAATATTAAAGCATCACACACTGGTCTTTGCAGAATGGCTAAGCAAAGTGTTTCTTCATAGTCTAGAGATTCAGATGATATGTTTGTTACAAAACTGCCAAGTTTGTATGCCCACTGTGTGGAAACATATCAATGTACTGAGACAGTGGAGATTACAGCAAAGAGAGTTTAATAATTGCAAGGCCACCAAGCAAGGAGATGGGAGGAATCCCCAAGCCTCAAATCCATCTCCTCAAGTGGTGCTGCTCAAGGGTCTTTAAGAGGATTATGGAAGGTGAGGGGCTGGAAAGTCGGTGTTGTTGATTGGTTGAGGTAAGGGGGATAAAATCATCATGATGTGGTTATTGCATTCTTCTGTGAGTCAGTTTCTTGCTGGGCCCTTCAGACAAGCGGCTTTTATTAATATGCAAAATCTAAAGGGAAAACCCAAAGAGACAGTTTATTATTTTATGTGTTTTAGATTTTATCTATAAAACAAAAAAAGAACACAATATCTATGACAAGGGGTACAAAATAAACAGCAACTAGCTATAAGAAAGTGGGGCAAAGAGCAAGCTGCCTTAGTAATTACTGCCAATTGTGCAATAAGCCTAGCTAAATTTTATTGTTTTTCTTAATGATTTTATAAAATTTTCTTGGTGATTGTTCTGTGTTCATGTACATTTCTAGTACTTTCAGTGTAGTTTCTGTTGACTATTCCTGGGGTTTGTTTCTGACAGCCATTTTCCATTTTCTCCATAGGTATGAGACTCTTGGAGCCTTACATTGTTCAGCATTTAGAAGGTACTTAAATATTTAATTCCTGTTTTTGAATTTATAATTAAATAGTTAAATTATTTTGTTGTGTGCCGATACTGATGATGTTATTCATATATTAGATTTATGTTTTTTGTTTATTTATTTATTCCTTTATTTTTTGCCAGGAACTCTCAGCCAGCAAGAGGATTCCAACCTGAGTGGAGGGTGTGCAAGAAGAAAAGGAGACAGACAGGTGGGGTCAGGAGGGTTGAGGAGTCAGTGTTCCAACAACAACTTTATTTCACAGAGGTTCAGAATATATACATTTTCCAGGTTCTTATCTATGTCATTGCAAGAAGAAAAACAAGTAGATAAATCACAGACCCGCTACAATATAGATGACTGATAAACAATAAGTGACCACAATATGTAGTGATTAAAGGTTTTGTTTACATACAACATTGTGCCTCATGACTGCATGTGATCCCAATTTACAGATCTCTTTTTCTCCATATGGTTATCTTTTAGCTAGATTCTCCTTTGTGTTCTTGATCCCTTTATCTTAAGTTCCTTCTTCTTGGAGACTCTGCATCTGGGCTCAAACCACCCATATTGTGAAACTCGCTTTGCAAGATTTCACACAGGAGGGCTCCCAACAATTTTTTGAGGCAGAGTCTCACTCTGTTGACCTAGGCTGGACATTCTGGGTTAAATCAGTCCTCCCACCTCAGCCTCCGAAGTAGCTGGAACTACAGGTATGTGCCATGATATCTGGCTAATTTAAAATTTTTTGTACAAACAGAGTCTCACCATGTTGCCCAGACTGGTCTCAAACTCCTGGACTCAAGTAATCTTCTGGCCTTGGCTTTCCAAAGTGTGGGGATTACAGTTACAAGGCAGAGCACCTGGCCTATATCTTTGTTTAAACTCTGAAAGCAGCATGGCAGATAGTAGCTTTAACTGGCCAATCCTCTTCTCCATGACTTCTTAATTTCATATCAAAAGAAATTTTTTTTCTTAATTTTTATTTTTGAAGATCTCACAGTCTGTAATTTTTTTCTTATCCAAATGCAATATTATTAAATAGATGGTGTTCTTGAATATAACTTTTAGTAACTTATCATCAATATTTCTGTTTCCTTAGCAAGATGAGAGGTCTTCAATGACAAATAATTTTCTTTTAATCTTGGTAGGACTTGTCAGTTCTGTTGACATAAACATAGGGTTTTAAATTGAAAACCAAGATTGTTTACTAGATATAGATGGAGATTTACTATAAAATTCTATTATCCAAGACTTCTAAAAGATTGACATATCTTTGCTTATTATTAATACTCCCATGTCTCCTCTTATAGTTTCCTTTTTTTTTATTGCTTAATGTTTCATTTTTCTTACTTTTTTCTGGAAAAGCACTCAGTATGTAGTATTAGAATGCATAACCTTGTGAGCATATTTATAGCATCTCATTTTTTTAATATGGTGATGAATGATTAATCATAAAGGGTTCACCTGTTTTTACCTTACACAAGATTGAATGTATCCATGATTTAGTACTTTGAAGGTTTTTATAGGGATGTTTATTTGAATGTGGAAATGTTTATTTTTTTAAAATCCTTATTCTAAGATATAAAAAAATCCTTTTGCTCATGCATACAAGCCCTCTCTTCTGTTTAAGACTCCAGGGACTTCAAAAAGAAGTGTAAGGGTTGAGGAGTTTTTTCTCTATTCATCTTGGCTTCATTGACTAGGACTCTGAAAATTAGACAAAGGCAAATTAACAAGAAAAATACAACAACAAACAAGCAAATAAGAAGCTTATTAGCAGGCATTGTGCCACCAGGAGTATTCAAAGACAGGGGTTAGGACTTGGGGAATATGAAGTATCTTAACAAAAGAAAAATACATTTGTAGAGGAATTAAAAGGCAAAGAAAAATGCTTTTGGTTTTTAAGGACAGCAGCTGTGAGAAGGCAAGTTTATGGTAGAAACCAATGAAAGAAGATTATTTTAGTGAGGTTTGCCACATAGATTCCAGTGGTGGTTTCTCCAGTTTGACGAGTTTAGTATTGTCTCCAGTGATTAAGAATACTCTTGCTTTTTCTGATTGAGAAGGGAGGACAGGCAGAAATTTCTTGCATCTACTCTTCAATTGCTCTCAACTCAAAATAATGCTGAGAGAATGTGTTCATACTGAATAGTTTCAATAAATGGCTTGTATTTTAAAATACACACACAGAAACACGCACACATGTGCATGTGCACACTGGGTAAAACACACAACCCTAATCCAAGAGCAGGATCCACAAAGAATTCAAATAACTTATTGGAATTGCAGGAGGTGAGAAATTTCTTCCCTCTCTACATCATCTTCACATAATTATAGTTAATGCTGTGGCACTAAAACTCAGCAGGGGTTTAGAGCAAGAACTTTAGAATTAGGCTACTGAGAGTTCCAATCATCATTTTTTGCCATTTCCTGAGTGTCATCTTGGGCATGTTATTTCAATTTTTTCATCAGTATATTTACCATATTGATGCAGGAATTTTTTTGGTGCTGCTTCACCAGCTAGAGACCTCTGTGGCCAATGACGCCCCTGTCCAAGCCCTTCTCATGCCTTCCTTGGCTTGCTGCTGAAGGTTTGGCTATGCAGGCTGTGCTTGGCTTGTGCCCTGACCTGGATCCCATGCTCAGCCTGCAGCTGGGCTGGGTGTTTCTGATCCCGCTTGTATTACAACTCATTCAGTCCCACTGCCCCACTATGGCCATGGCTCCGGTGCTGGTCCAGCACCACCACTGCTTCCTGTCACATGGGGCAGCTTCCCCATGCCAGCAGAGGGCAGAGGGTCACAGTGTTAGAGCCTTTTTTATACTCATGTTTGGTGGGTTCCAAGTTCTTGTCCTGCCTCCAAAAGGAATGAGGTTACAATGACAACCAACAGGTGAGAAGGGTGGAGAAGAGTTTTATTGAGCAATGAAACAGCTCTCAATGGAAAGGGGACTTGAAGCAGTAATCCCCCACCAGAAGGCAGGTTGTCACCCCCAACCAAAGGCAGGCAGTTCCTCTCTCAGTGTGGCTGGGTCTGGGGCTTTTGTGGGCTCAGAATAGGTGACTGCATGGTGACTGGTTTTTGAGTAAACAAAAAAACTAAAAGGCACCACTCAAAGGTGAGCATGATAATGTTAAAAAACCAATTAGGGAAGGGGAGGAATATGCAAAATAGGTGAAGGGTAGGGATCAATCAGAGGAAAGCATGCCAAATGGGAAAAGAGGTTCTCAATCTAGTCCACGGATTTGTCTGAGATTTGTAGCTTGACTACAGGCTTTAAACTGTCCTTGGTTTGAAGGTGTGATTTCACTGGGGACCCTCCTTATCTTCCTAGGGATTTGTCTCCTGCTACTATCAATATTAGATAGTACTAAGTAATGTTTTAGAAGTTGTTGGTATATGGAGTCCCTGAAATTAGGTGCAAGATTTAAGAGTTCTGGGAAAGATCTTATTTTAGTCAACCTTATCTTGCTGAAATGGATTAATTTTTAAAAAGCAGAAGAAAGTTTTATTTAATGCTCTAGAGAGAATGACTTGCACTAATCCTTTGTTTCATTGAACACAATTCTCATCCTTCATTAAAAGCAGAATAGCTTCATGGTCTGCTTGTCCTCCAGATAGCAGTGGCTTGTATATGATTGGTGTTTCTTAGGATCGTGACTGTAGGACTTGCTCCCTCTTTAGGATTAAACATTAGAAGACCAAATAACTTGACTTGTGTGGTCTTAGACTTTCCTTTAAATTGGAAGAGTGTGCTAACAGCTCTAGTCTCAATTGGCAACCAGGCTCCTACATTTAGACTCCTTACTCCCTTGGTCTTATGAATCTGAAAGGCAAAGCATCTCCCTCAAAGGTACATCAGAATTGAAACCTTTTATTGGATTTTTTTTTTCTTAAAGAAGAAGGGATTTATTATTGGCTTGACTGTTTTATCTTATTCATGCAGTCTAGACTTAGCAATATTCTGAACTGACACTTCTTTTTGGAAGTGTCAGTTGGAACAGTATGGATTTATCTTTATTTTCCTCAACATCTAAATGTAATGACTCAATTGTTTTTTCCCAAGGAAAGATGTCACAATATTATTTTGGAAATTTTCTATGCAGATGGTGAGAAGGCCTATAAAAATGTTTACCACATAACAATTTAATCAATACTAATCCTGCTTTTCTCATGATAAATGTTCTTCACTCATAGTGAATTTCTCTTAATTTCAAGTTCTAATGTAAAGACCATGTCCTTGGAGAAAAAAAAAATCATGATATAGTTAATTCATCACTATTAAAATAATTTGTTAGACCAGCTAAAAATTTTATTAATTCACCTTTAAAAGTATATATTAAGTCATTGTATTTTTGTCTTGATAATACTTGAGGTGAAGATGGTTGATTTACTACATAACCTTATTTAAGAAACAGATGGGCTGTAGTCTTAGCGGATTGTAGTAATAAGAAAAAAACCCACGCATCACTTTAAAAACTAAAAATCAATACTGAATATTGAATAAAAATTAATAAAATATGATATTCATTAGAAATTTTTGTTTTACTTTGAAACTACAAAGAGTCTATATTCCTTCTTATGCACGTGGAATATTGAGAAAGCAAGCCTAACATGTGACTACATTCAGGAGCTTTCACAGGGTTTTAGTAAATAACATATTTATGTATTAAGGTAAAATAGACTTGATAATCCAGCTTTACTGGCACTTGTGTTGTATTTTAAAGTAATATTAAAGTAAAACATTTATGTTCAAGCCAAATACCAGAAAACATTATATAAATTATTTTTTATTATAAACATTTTGACATCACAAGCTTATAGTAGAAATTTTTTCTATTCATCATTTCTATTCCTTTCCTGGTATAAACATTTTATATTTTTCATTACATTTATGTAAGAACTTCTCAGACTATTAACTCCTAGCAGATATAACCTAACAAGAAAAATGTCATGAATCAGATGTGTGATGACCTCAGGCTGAAGCTTGTCTAGTGTTACTGTCTTCTGAGGGGGAACAAATTCAAGCATCTTAATTAGATTTATAGATTGCTGTTGAGTCACCACAGGGATGTTTCAGAATGTCTCAGAGTATGGTGATTTTGTGATAACCAGTTAAGAAGTTATGGCCTGTCACAATCTGTGCTTTAAGTAAACTCCAATTTGTAGTGTGTGTAACAAAAGCAATGTTTTAATATTTGATAGC